TGGCAGTTATTAGGTTTTTGAGAGCATTCACGAAATTACTTGGTCCCCTTAGTGATTATCATTAGGGCTTTTATGTAATGGGCTCACATGGACAGCATAAAACTAAACCCATAATTTCATAGAAAGCTTTTTTCTTAATATAGCGATTCTAAGTTAGACGTAAGCCAGCGTTTTATCACCTATATTTATGGAAGTCAGTGAATTTACAATAAACGAAAAAGAAGGTAAAAATTCTACTGACATCAAATATTAGTAGCAATCACTGAAAATTGTATATAAATCAGGCAGATTTAATTAACAAAGTGCAAAGAAAAGAGGCTTTTCGGACTGGAATGTCCTCAAAAACTAAACCTATGCTATCATGAAAAAACGTGGGTACCACTTCATAAAAAAGCCATGGACAAATTCAAAGCATGTTTTCATGGTAAATAAGCGTTCCCGTAGTTCGTGATCTGTACTGCCAAAAAGTAGGCCTCTGATATTAAAATACTGGAAAGTGGAGACATGGGAATGCTAGACAGAGATCTATGTGAGTAGCAATAGAGCCTACGACAAACATGTAAAGAGCTAAGAACCGATAGTAGAGTACAGCAGAGACTTAGTGGAATTACTACTGCTCTATGCACCAAATTGTCTGATCAATTCTCATTCGTCAAAGAAAGGTGGTACAACTACTCAACTGCCATCAAAGTAACAATGATAAGGAGTAAAGTCCTTCTTTGTTTCCTCTTAATTAACCGTGATAATTTTGAAATTAATTAAAGAGCATCGAGTATAGGTATGGTCAGGGAAACCTCAAACGACCATCTCTGCATTTGTTATCATCTCCCACGAAAGACACATTGAAAGAAATAAAACCACTTGAAAAAAGGCTTACTTAAACTTAGATGGTACGAACCAACTCCTACAAAAATCGCATTAGAATATAAGGCCGTAATTTCCACTACCTAACATTTGACATTAAAAAACGATAATACTAATACCAGTGACATTCTAGAGTATTCATCTCCCCGCAACTGCTGAAAAAAGTTAGTCATAGTTCCTTGTGCAATGAAATTAGCGAACAAGAAGATACCAAGACGAAGGAACCCCGTAAAAAGCCGCCTTACTGCATATTTACAGCGTTTCATTTTTTAGTATCTGCTGTACTCAAGTAGACAAACTTACAAAAATGAACGAGATCAATAGCACAGTAGAAAGTTCCTCCTCTTACATTCTTCAAAAAAAACATCGGTTACACACTTGAATTAAACTAGATTTTGGAGAGAAATGAAACGACATCGAAGTGTATCAGTGGCGTAGCCTATCGAAAAGTAAAAAATCTATTATTCCCATCACGTTCTTCAAAAGACTTTCGCATCTATAAGACTTCCCAGGTCTGCGATTTTAAAAATATGTTTGAAGGATTAAAAATATGCTTTGGTAGGACTTAAGGTATTAGTGATAAATGAAAGAATCAACATCAAAGTACACAAGTCTCCTGTGTATTTATGAAGAGGAACGTTTGACGAGAATACTCAAGAGGGTTAGAGATGTTGGATTAAAATGAAACGTGATAAAATCAAACAAGTCAACGACGAAAAAAGTCGAAGCATATCTTCTACTGACGGATCACAGTAGCATCTAACGATATAGGAAGAAATTTGTAGTGCCATAAAGGAGGCACAAGGCTTCAAAAAAAGGAATGGGACTGACAAAGAGTAGGAAACCGGTAAGGAATGAGACGCTGGGGTTAGCACAAACTAAACAACGCTAGAAAAAAAAACAAAACTAGGTACACTGGCGTGATAGACAAAAAAATGAAAGATTGCCTGACAAAAGGCATAAAATAAAGGAACTTCTTATAATTAATGAATATTCAATGCGACGTGAAAATAACGAATACTTATAGAGCCAAATAGGAAACTCACGGACAGTATTATCGCCCGAACTAATTTCAGCTTCAAGGTCTTTTGGCAAACGAATGTGCTTTGAGATGTCATCGGATAAGGGGAGAAAAGCATAGTTTGCTGGGGAAGTACTTCTGGCAGAAAAGTCGTGTATGGAGGAGTAAGAGCAATTAAATAGATTCAAACCGGCAGCACGAAACTGATCTGTGAAAAACAAACACCTTCAAATGTTTGCAGAAAATAACTTATAAATGCCATTAGAGACAGCACAGTGACAAAGCGATACACTGTTATTGTCATAACGGGATAGAAAACTCAAACAAATGGTGCAAATGTAAAAAGTCCAGAATTTCTAAAATTAAAATGTGGCAAACATCAAAAGTAGTCACAATTCAACTCAAAACTAAAAAAGTATAACGAAAAGGATACCTTGGAGTTCAGGATAGAAAAGCTGGAAGGGAGCAAAGAGGATCAAACTGCTGGTTTCGATGATAGGCTCCGAAACTGATGCTATGAAAGCAATAATACTTTTGCTATCCCGGACTCGAAATTGCTGACAAGCAGTCAAAATCGTACAGTTTTCACAAAACCTGATAAAAACACTAAAAGGAGCATGAAAAAAGAGCCGAAATACCTTGTTTGTATAGGTCCAAAAATAATTGTGCAGTTTGAGCAGTCATCAATCGTAACTGTGTTAACGTAATCATAAACAAAAACATAAGAGTTCTAAGGTAAGGAAAATAGCAACATACCTTGCAATTTCTTATTCGGAACTGCTGTCCACTGACTTCACCGGGAAGCCTTCCACAGACAGCACCTGTTTGGTCCGAAATTAGGTACAGTTCTGGGTTAACAACCTTTCTCTTTTCCCTACAAGATTAAAACAAAGGATACATACCACTGGTGGTCATTACTATCGATACTAGAAAGCATAGTTCGACCCTTCCACCTGAGAACCCGGGAAGTGCCGATACCCATGATTACGGAAACACACCGCTCGGCTATACGACTTATTTAAACAAAATTTCTGAAACAATATGGCTGCCCATAAGGCTATTGTTCTTTTAAAACTGGAGCAAACACAAGGATTTTTTACATTTGATTGCCCCAAAAAATTATAAAAATGTAATTACTCATTCAACAAAAATAGGTTCACATAAACAGTCGAACTTTGCAATCACAATCGCAATTGGGGCTAATAGTTAGCTTAGTCTTGAGTTTTGACTTCCAAACTTGTACTGGATTTGACCCCACTGGTCATAAGACGGTTCTTGGTGCTCATACTGAACAAACTTTACTTGGCGCCAGTAAGTAAATCCCTCCTTGTGCTTGGTGGTACCTAGGCAAATGTAGGTCGTGACCCGCCATGTGACTTTAGCACACTTCCTGAAATCCAGAACTCGAATGACAAATAATTTTTGACGTGTTTCGTACAAATTTATGCAAAGGCATATAAATGCATTTTTGTAAACGAAGCATGGGAGTATTCCTTACTGGATTTGCGGCATGGATTTTGTCTGAGACTACATATTGGTAAAGTTGAGGAAATCTTAACGTCAGCTGTGAAGCCCCAAATATTCCCTGATATCATATGAAACCTCAGTATCAAGGCAGAATGCATATTTACATACTGAAGGGCAGAGAGGGTACTGGTAAGCCCCGAAGGCCATTCCTTTCAATAGAGGTACTATTTACAAATACTCAGGTACCCTAAGCAGACTGTTGTTATACTTTGCGAATACTTCCTTTTACTAATTGTGTCTACTTTCTGCCACATTTAACTGATCTGAAATTAGAATTCTGAAAAAAATGTTAAAGCGCCATTCATTTATTGCTAAATGTTTAGAATTTTTTTGTTTCCAAATATAAGGCGTGTATTCTATCATTTTCACCGAAATTAAAAAAAGTCCATAATTTCATTTTCGTCACCTTCTCGTTGGGTCACCATTGGTTACAGTGTGACTATATGGTCGTAGATCTCGGTATCTGGTTTCCCCCACAATTTTGCAAAAAAACCTCGAACTAGGTTTAATCTAACTTGTAATCGTGTACAGCTTGGTGCCGATTCTTTTTGAGTGGTGTTCTATTTAGAAGTTTAACATCACAAGGTTCTTGTGCCTACAATCAATGGATGATATGCAGATATAGACTTTCATTTTCCCATTGATTTTAGACATTTCTATCAGATTACTTAAAGAACTCCCATAACAATAACGTATCGAACTAAGTTTTGCCAGTTTTTAGCTTGTAAGGACGCACTTTATTTTATTCACATTGCATTCTTTTTTTGAGTGGAAGAGTAATTTTAATGCAGTCAGTTTTCTAGTTTTATTTTTTATTTTTTATAGTTATACATTGATTTTAGTCCGAAAACGGTACTGGACAAAGATTTGGTATTTATACATAGGGATAAGAGACAGGTGTTAAGTTACATTTACATAAATAAATTCCATCCATTGCCTAAAGAACCCTATTTCTTGCAACTGAGTGTTTTTAGTGGCCATTTGTTGACTTCAAAACTCTTTATTCTCCTCATTTCTTAAGTATTTGCTTGTTTGTCACGGGGGTATTTCGACTGGAATCCACTTGAAAGGTATCAAAGATTGGATCATGATTGAGATTTACCCTACCAGGCCTTCTTGTTTGGAGCAAATAAGGAAAAATAAGCCTGCACACACTTTTTACCGCTTTATTTTGCACTCACGATATAGATGACATTTCTTAGAATGGAATTCTTAAAGAATCGCATATTACCGCACCTTCCACCCTCGCAAAAATATGATTAGCTTACTGAGTGCCTTTTTGTAAAAAATAACACTTCGAAGCTACAAGCACTGTCAAGATTCCATGCCTTCAAAGACAAATTAAAAGGTATTTGGACAGGATAATGCGAATATTAATGTAAAATCTAATTGACAAGAAAAGTTTGTACTATATTTTACTTGTCGAAATGATCACCACAACAGTATGTATTCTATCATCCTTTGCAAACAAGGCATTGGTATTTCAGGAAATTTACTCTAATGGCGCGAAATTTTTAGAAGCAAATAATCAGGTCAAGTACTATCCACCTCTATTTGTTTCTCACCTTTCTGTTTTATTTCACACGTGAATCCTTAATTTAAAGAAGGCAGAAAATTACTCTAAGCAATATAAAGCAACCCCAAATTAAGCATTATTTCTTTTCTTCCAATATTAATATAGTGTAGCTATTCTAGGTTTTAAGTTCTGATGCATGCGGTGAGAGGCGTGAGGTCTTACGCTGCGTTACTTTGCAAAGACATTAATAGGAATTCCTTCACATTGGCTGACTTGTGCTGGCTACCTCTGACGGAACCATTGTTTCTGGACAATTCTGAGGTGCACCGTATCAAATAGACAGATTCGGTAGTAATGGTTTCACTATCATCGGATGAGCTATTCAAGGAAGTAACTGTGCTTAAAGTGGACTGCACACCCACAAGGCAGGGATATTACTATCCACGGGGATGAGTAATAAGAGAGTTGCTTAGGGATAACAGATGATATCTTGCTCAATGAACGTTAGAACATAAAAGTCATCTCTCATTTAGTTGGTAAACAACCTAAAATATAGGAGGTGTTTTCATAATGTGTAGGAAAGAAGTGAAGTGCACCAAACAGATGGTCTTAAAGCCTTTTTCAATCTACTACTACATTTGGCATTAGTTACAATAAGTTCTGAGCCATACTTTCTATCACCGCTTATTCAAAAGCCTTAAGACTGTTTTAAACTCATTTTATAAGGCAGACAAGCTCGAACCGAATAAGGTTTAATCCAGGCTATATGTATAACGGTTCCAAACAAGGGGGAAGCAGTGGCATAAACTACGGATTGATCCACGTCTGTTTTACATTGCTTGTGTAGAAACGCTTACATGCATTTTCAAATGCCTACAATTCCCTACAAGTCAATGGGACGACCCAGTACAAGGGATTGAGATTTGCCCCTTCGTAGGTTTATTAAATAGGCTTAAAAGCGTCGGATTACATGGCTTGACGAATGGTGGAGTTTTTCCCGATCTCACATTTCAGTTGATTAAAGACAACAAAAAAAGGTTAAGACAGATTCAGTTCCACTGTTCCCTCTACTCTTTACATGGTGCAATATATTACGGCCATAAAGTAAGGCACTAGCCTGTCAGAACTTTTAACATTTCCCAAGTCTCATTTTAACAGTTCTAAATATCCCATTTTTATTCAGAAGCTCCGCAACTTTAGGACTTTTTATTCATTATTTTTGAAAAGACAAAAAATCCTTAAAGCCTAAGTTGCAAGGCTAACCTATTTATTAACATATTTATCTAAAAAACAAATTTACTAAACGGGACACTATTTAATAGGTCACCGAGTCATGGATTCAATGTTTACAGCGAGTGATCTTTTTGCCCTAAAAAATCTTCTCTCTCCAAATGAGGATTCAAGTGATGAGGAAAGGGTAAGTTTTGCTTTCTTTAATGAATCGCAATTGATGCGGGTAGTTTAAGGTGAAATATTTAACCGTAATGGCTAAATAAATCCATTAAAGTGGAAAAAATACACGTATTTTCTATTCCAGTTAGCTAAACCATCAATCCGAAATAATCCCGGTGATATTGGTCCGAAGAAGAAGAAGCAAAAGAAGAAGGAAGGTAACTGGTAATTTTTTTCAACATACTGTTAATTATCGACAGGAGATGAGGCTGAGAAGAAACCACCACCGGATCCGAATGCTATTTGGCAGGCAGATGAGATTCCCGAGACAGCTTATGTGGAGGACGTATACGACCCACGGCCCCAACCAGAGTAAGTTGGAGAACACTTGCACTTCCTTTATTGTCAATTAAGGTTATTTGGCACCATGAGACAGAATTAAGTAATTGAGTTAACTAGTCAGTTCTGCAACAAACACCGATGTTGAAAATAAGTTTGCAAGCCGTGAAATACAGGGTTGGAGTTGTCTTCTAATTTTTAATAATTTAGTTCAAGTGGCTTTTTACCTAACTGAGTTATTTCAAATAGTCAAAAAATAATTTAAACTGTAACCTCCATCGGAATAAAACAACCATTCTATGATTGGAAGATCACCTTTTCCTCGTGTGCACCTCATCTACTGGACTAAAATCGTCCACTTGCTTGGTGTTTTTCAATCTGCTAACTAAAACCCTCTATTATTTTAAAATGGCTGAAATCCATTGCTCACAATTTTACATAAATTGCTCCCTGAAGCACTGCGAGATGTAATGGTTTCGTGACGAATTGAAAGGTAATCACCAAGCTTAGTACGCATTTAAAATTACCGTAATGCGTATTCACAATATCAAAAAAACCCTGAAAAGGATTATGTTAGGATTCCAACAAAATCAAGCTTTTAGCACACTTAAAGCAAATTACTGAACTTGCTTAGCATTCACTGGATCATATATTTATGCAGTTTATTGAAAACTAAAAAAGCGTTCGTAATGATGATTGTAACGCACCGAGGCTACCCTGAAAACGAAAGAAGACACAATACTCAAGCGGAATATGTTTCGTCCATATGCATAAGGAATTGTGGCTACTGGCACGGCCCGTGAGCTGTACGGTGGCGGAGTCCCTAATTGACCCATTACTAAAATGGAGAGTTAAGCAAACAATTAGACTATTACAATGATATTATACTGCCATTCAAATCTTTTTGGAGTTTGTGATTAACCACGCCGGTAAGGTAAAAAGTCTTTTACGAACGTAAGAGGACAAATATGCATGGTCAGGGAGGTATGCTGCTGATAGAAAGAACCAGTCGAAGCGAAAGAAAGGCCATATAGTTAAATATACTACTAAATAAATATTAAGCACCTACAGAATATCCTCATTAGAAGGTATGATCAGTAACACATTATTTGGCTTTCAGGATTAAAGTTTTTTACCAGAACAAAAATCTCATGCAATTATCGCAAGTCTTCAGTATTTTAAGCTTCTTAAGTAAGCTCTTTCGAGAAAAAAATCATTACTTTCCTTATGACCTATTAATAACTCGAGTGAGATCACTTTAACATGGCCCACGGGATGAATTCTCCATACCTTTAACATAATACATTTGTACAGTATCTCAAAATAAAAATGAGGAGTTTTAACTCAACACCATTTAACACAAATCCCCTACTACCCGCTAAAGTAGAACTTTAAAGAAAATTACTAAATACACTCTTAAGGTAGTGGTTAAGCATTTATGGATTAGTAAGAGCAATCTCGTCTATCAAAAGTAGGTCTTAGATGAGTGAAGGTTTAATGCTCAATTCTAACTTTTTCGACGTTACCCTAACACAAATTTAACAGAAATCTCTCAAAAAGCACCACAAGTCTCAGCCTATGATCAGAATGGTAATACTGTAATATTATAAAAATAAATGTCTACCAACAGTCAGTGAAAATGACGATTTCTTCAACGTCATCTTTCCAAGTGTTAATTATCCACTTTTTCTGTATCTAAGCAGACAATTGCATGATCCCAAGAATACACATTTGGGAAGTAGAAGTGAATTGAATATGGAGGTGGCGAGGACCAGGGCTAGCTGCGTACTTTTAAGTAGTAGAGCGTAGTATGAAAGTAATATTTGTAGCAATGTTGTGCCTAATTAGGCAAATATTAAAGAACACAGCTTTAGTTTCCAAACCAATGAAGTATTTTAGGGAACTTTAGACAGCTATTTCATTGTCATTATAGAAGATGACTACACCAACTTAGCTATTCTTAGCATTACATTATCGCAGTCGAATTGCGGTCCTTAATTCAGGTATGAAATCCACTTCAAGCAGGATGTAAGCGCGGAGGACATGTATCTCCAAATGAGTCCCAAAAATGCAACCACAGCTTGTTGTGAATACATGGTGGTAAGTCTACCCTTGAAATGTCTAAATCCCATCCAAATGCTGGCTGTTGATCCATTCTAAATTACTCGGTTTTGCGCTCCAAAGGTAATGGTCAAACTCCCGAAGACTAGTAAGGAGGAAATCAAACTCGATGTTAAGGAGCAGTTCTTGGACCTTCGTACCAAACAGTTGTGAGTTTAGTATGCCAAATTGACCGACAGGTTTTTGAAGTGTCAGTAGGGCGCTACATCAATAACTGAATGATGAAACCCTATACAATGATAAAACCTTTCATAATTTCATTCTTTCAGCAAACTTGGCCTTCATTTACCCAACCCAGTAAAGCCGGAGTTGTCTAAAGCGAAGTGGCTCTCTGAGCAGTCGACTCTGGAGGTTACAATGGTGAATAATCGAGAGTTGGACTACATAAATTTTTAATCAAAAGAGACAACCACTGTACATTTCCACTAGATTTGTTGGGCTGGGTAAGTAAAATGAGCGATTCTATACACAGAACATTTTTGTGCGTTGGAAAGCACATTGTGCGAAGTGGTTGGGAAAATGTTGTTTTTTTTTAAAACAAAAAAACCAGGCTCTGAAATGTCCATAGGATCGACTGAAAACGTACCAATAAACCATGAAATGCGAAATTGTACTTCCAGTTTATGGAATGCAGTGAACGAATTTCCTTTGGGACTTGTACCGATGGTTGAAGTGCCCCATTACATTAAAGATTTTAGTAATTTAGAATACAAATCAGATAGACATCTTTGATCTAGTCCTCCTTGAACCCCCAATACGCCGTACCACTGTGAAAAAAAATTAATGGCTAACTTGCGGCTGAGTTGGGAGGCTGTAGGCGTGGCCGGCGGGGCCTCACCACCCGGCAGAAGTACAACTTGCTGAGAATAGCGATCCTGTGTAGATAATTACGAAATTAAATACGTGCCAAATCACAGCACATTTTCTTCACTTTTGGAGACTCTTTTGCACACCTCTACATGATCACAAATTCTGTTGTAAAATGCAGCCAATCTCTGGTACCGGTGTTGCCTTAGCACCCCAGAGAGGGTGTTACCCATTACTGGTAGTACACACTGCAAGCCTGACTGGAGTTTCCAAAAATATTGCGCACTTTTCAAGGCGAATTACACTAAAGAGGAATCCATTTGGATGATTATACTGGCACATCAATCACTTTTCCTAGTAACATTTGCCCAAAAGAAAAAAGTAGCATGTTCCTAGCCTTTGACGTGAAGTGCTTCGTCAAGCAAACATCTCCAAAGCCTCTCCTGATTACATTTGTGGCTTGTTTAAACCAAACCTCACTTTATCAGTCCTTAATGTTCAGGCACTCCTTTGATTCTTGTGGTGGGTCTTCATAGATTCAACCATCTAGGGTAGACACCTGCATTCTGTAAGGCTTGGATCTAGGAGCCGGTCTATGAAGTTAAAGTTTGGAGCTCAGAGACTTGCCTATAACAGAATGGAGGACATATTATTGGGCATGGTAGGTCTGCGAGGCGGTTGAGCGGAAAAAAAACTTGCAAAGAACAAATCACTAATTTACCTTTCGACAGTATTCAACCCTAGCAATCTGAATTGCAAGTGTTAAAAACAAATTAGGGTGTGCGAACATTTCTTGACGTAGGCCGCACTAGATCGTTAGGAGTAGTAACCACCTACGTTGCCCTAAAGGGCAACACTTACACAAATTCTTATCAAGAGGCAAAATTGATACATTGTTTCAACACAGGGGATTTAGAAATAGTGAAATTGTGATGAAAACTTCTCAACAAAATAAAGAATTCAGTACCCGGACCACTAATTTGGCGAATTAAAGTATTTGGTGTCGTCATTAATGCAGCGTCACCAATTCTAAATAGAACTGGTTTTGTGCTACAAGTGGATAGAACAAGCTACTTCAATGAAGACCACACTCGAACACATTGATTGTTCTTGACTCACTCAGGACATAATAACAAAGACCTGCACCAGGGAATAAAATACAGAGTCCTTATTGGTTCAGTCTGCTAAAATCTCTGGTTTAAAGATCGTGTCAAAGTAAATCGGAATGGATGGAACGAAAGCCACTAAGAAGGCCATCCAATGCACACGTCCACAAGTGTACCCGACTTCAATGGGCGCGCCCAATCAATGGCCCAGTGACCATGAAATCCACCAATAACAAGCACCCTTGATCTGCACCTTGTAACCAATCAGCATACGCGTGGTCAAAGGCATAAGTTAATAATGGCGCAAGCAAACATACGCACGCACACCCAGTGGACTTTTGATATCAGTGACCAGCTTGGATAGTAAAAGAATCTTTTATTTCATTTCAAAATTCGGCCATGGCTAAGGTCTCCGTCACCGGATGCTTCAAATGTGTTAAATATGCACTTTTCGCATTCTGTCTCGTCGCTTGGGTGAGTTTCACGCATCCTTTAATTACTATTTGCTGATTATCAAACAATTATTTATGTACCAACAAGACGTAATTAGCATGGTTTTCAATACACGAATCTTCCCCTAAATTAATACATACTCTATTAGGCTCTCAGAGGAAAGTCGGACACCCACTGTATATGACCAATTGCCATTAATTCTTGAAAAACTAAAAATATGTAATTATCCACAGACCAAAAACATCCTATATCCACCTATTTTATTTGTCAACTACGTGACTAACCATGTATGAATCGGTTAAGGTCACATGTTGCACATTTGTGACACTGCGCTCAGATCTGACAACTGGGGTGTCATACACGTGACGCTGAAGAAATAGTAAAGCTTAACAAGTTTTCGCTTCTATTGTTTAATAGCATTTATCGGTTAAAAAGAGAGGGTGCGGTGCAGTGTTGAAGAAGTGAGTGTTCGAGCACACGCCACGACGGTTTCACGACGGAAAAGTTGGTACGATTTGGGACGGCCAACTGCGTAATATCGTAGTTAATGAAATGCTTTGGTGTATTTAAGCGCTCTAGGGCAGAAAGTCACTCCGACTCATGGGATTATCCACCAAAGCAGCGAGTAGATCCAGGTTTGGATTTTAAATAACAGAAATCACATCAAAAATTCCACATCTTTAATGAATGAATGAATGAATAAATAGAAAAGGTACTGTTTTTATATAGCATAAAATTCTGGTTGCCTTATTGAGCGCATTGGTTAAATGCAATGCCAGCTAATGTTATTAATTGTTTTTGGACTACATTTGTGCATAGTGATATCCAAGAGCCTGTTAACATCTGGTTTCACCTCCAGACTTCAAAAGAATGGACATCGAGGAAACCCCGAGTGGAATTACATCTGAGCTTTAAATTTAACGTCAAAATCAAGTATTCATAAAGTTGATTTTGTCAGGTTATTTTGGAAGATAAAAAATCTTATTTTGCTACCCCAGTGTGAAAACGAAGGTAGGATACAGAAAATGCCGTTCAACCGACAATTGAATCTAGAGTAGGTGAAGTACTGTGCATTACTAACGTTATTTTTACAAAAATCTCACACGAATTTTTCACATTAATTTGATGCACTTTTACGACTGGAAAAACCGCCGACAGCGATGGTGTTTCGGTGGCAGTAATAGAATTGCAAGGTGTGCTTTAAAGCCATCGTTGGGCATTGTGTCTGCTGTAATCAGGTTCCCATTTAACAATCAACTCGACGCACATACGTCACCTCAGGGGAGAGGGAAGGAGTTAGTTTAAAAATGAAGAATGATTTTGACCCTCTCTTAAAGCAGTTCACGCCTTTGTTCTACGAACGTATGCATAAGAGAGCACACAGTCCCGTTATTCATGAAAAACGTCACATTGGTGAGGCAGTTTCCAACAGGGAACGCATTTTAAGTTTTAAAAATACGAAAAACCAAGTTTTTCAGATAGTACATATAAACATGCAATATTTCTACCCAACATTTGAAAGTAATCCGTTTCCTAAGCAGAAGGCATTTAAAAAAGCAGTTTTTACAATAAAACGAGTACCTTTAAGCATTTATCAAAGCAAAACAAAGATATTCTGCTGACTGGTACTAATAGTGCATATTCCAGATTTGATTAACATAAACTCAACTTATTTATTAACACATCACTTCCAAGTTTGATGTGATTTCTTGCAGCGGTATTCTTTGGCTAGGCTCCAGCAAACTACCCAGGAGATTTACTAAAGCAGTTTAAAAATTTGGTTGTTCATGACAAAAACTGGCGAAAATGAAGACGCCACGACTACTCCAAGATCCTGTCCCATGTTTTAAACTTCTGCCTAATTCTTCCTATGAGCCGAACTGATCATTGGGGCTAAGTGGGGTCGCAAATTGCGAGCACGTAAAATGTGCAAAAATTAAAGCTGCCATGAATGACGAAATTAAAACGTGTGCACCTTGCTTAGATTATCGGTCTTGTTGCATTTGTGTGGGGCATCGTGGCTCGTGCAACCGGACATTTTGGACCACTTGAATCCCACATCCCCGCCGCCACGTCCGGTGAGTAGACATTACCGCATTTTCAATTATCGCGCCCCTTCCTTTTGACCAATCAGAGAATGGTCTGACCCATTGAAACGCCGAGAATTTACCTTTCAGTTCCTGCAGATTAAAGGCATACGAGCTGGAATATAAGCCCGTGATGCTGTCTGTGAAGGTTCAGGGTGTGATTTTTTCATGCCTCTCTTCAGGTGCAAATATACTTATCGCTGTTGGATTTATTATAATGTTCGTCGGATTCCTCGGCTGTTGTGGGGCAATTCGTGAAAGCCAATTCCTGCTTATGGCTGTAAGTCTTGGAAAAATCGCTTTATGGGAATTTCTATTTCTGCGCTGATTGAGTGATAGGAGGATGGCATGAACATTTTCTTTCATGACCTGATCCAGTTGCAAAGCGAAGTGGCATTGGTATAAGGAGGAAATCTACCGCACAAGATTACTTTTCCTATATCGTAATTAATTTTTTCCACCCATTCTTATCATGCTAAATCTAAACTTTGCAATTAGTGACGCTGGGGTTTAATACCTTGGTTAACAATTACCGAAAACGTGAACGCTTCGCAATTCATTTGATATCCTTCGCCCTCATCATGGCCATTCACCTACATTTTCTTGCTATGGAAAGTAAAAAAATTGCTTCATTTCTACGAATTATATTATATTATCCAAAGGTCGTACGAAAATACGCACATAATTTTCAAATTGGGAAGAGGAAATTCTTTGGTGCTTTCAAAGGTCATTTGTGGAAAAGGTAGGGAAACATTTAAGGAAGGTAATTTACTCGCGAAAGAAAACTCACTAGTAGTGGGGCTAAAATTTCATGAAAAGACCATTAAAGCAGTTGAATAAATACCGTATAAGACATTAGTCAAGTGGAATTGATTACTACCATACTACTCAAAAAGGTGTATGATTTCAGCGGCCCTTTTTTAAAACTGAATGTGGGGACACGATGTGGAGACGGCCCAAGATGGGGTTAGCGAATTGTAGTTGGAACCATGTCTGTCTTGTCAGGTACGGCATGCAAGAAGTTTCCAATCTTATAACCTTAGAGTTTAGTCCATTAAATGGAGGTCATGTGCGCCTTTCGTAGTCCATCGTGTCCGAAAAAGGCCATTCGATGTCATACGTCCTGGACTCTGGCTTTCCTGTAGAATTCTGCTCTTTTTAAAATGAATTCTCGTTTTTCGTCAAAGGAAATGAACAGACTGAAGTGGGATTGATACCTGTTATTGCAAGTTTTTGTTGTCCACGTTTAAAGACTAAATAAAATCCTTGGGAGTTCATCAAATTTTAAGTAAGTAAAAGGGCGTTATTTAAACCTCGAATGTCCTTTTTAGTTCTTCTTTTCCATCTTCCTGTGCTTCAGTCTCCTCATGGCAGCTGGTCTGTGGGCCGTAGCCTGGCAGCCAAGAGTGAGTTGCTCAATTTTTGTCATGCCCTCTCACCTACGTTTCATTTAGCTAGTCGAGGTGCTTGTATTACTTGCCCACGCAATTAATATTGTCATGTAGGCAACGTAGACAGCTTCAGGACAGATTTTAAGATGATTCCAGTCTCTTTGTCGCTTCAGTTGTTTATAGCATTCTTACAGAAGACGAGATTGGCGTCCTCACCAAAGGTGGAAGTTATTTTCAACCCTCCTGCTAGGCGTCTTCACAGCCACAGATGCTCTTCTTCAGTCAAGTTAGGGTCTACAACTCAGCCATAGAGATCAGGGCAGATGTAATTATTAAGTAATTATTGGGTAAATTATGACCACTTGAATCAAATGTTTTTTTCCGTTGATATCTCAGAATCATGTATTTTACACAGGATATTTTCTCATTCACAACAAGCAAAAGTCCCATTTTAGTGATGACAAGACAAGGATTGAAATGTAAAGACTTTTAGACAGTTCCACTACCACTAGGTGTGAATGCAATTTCAAATAACACTCGAAAGGAAGCTCGTTCCTACTGTTGTGTAGAAACTGTCCCAAAATACCAGTGGGTTTTCCCTTATGCCTAGAAGAAGCGATGATGTGTTTGTATTTGCTGTGGTGCTATTGGTGCGTGGGTTTGTGCACACCGTGACGCAATCCAAAAGAGGGCTGAAGCGGTAGCCATGGGGATCAATATGGATTTGCCCACACAAACATACGCAGTATCACAGTGGGAAACACTTACACACTTACATCCAAACTCCTCTTTTTGAGCACAT